TTTATGTCGTGGTAAACAGAATCTCATACACTCAAATTCTCCTACGTCTTTAATTGTTTGCTGTTGGCTCGCACCTACCAGTGTGCAAACCACGCTGTCACAGGCTCGCTGGCTGGAACGCACGTCCCACCCCCGGTGGGGGATGCTGGTGATGGGGGGCTGCGCGGGTGGAGGCAGGGGTATGGGGGAACCCTGTATCTCCTGCTCGGTTTTGCTGTGAATCTAAAGTGAGGTGTCTACACTTGCTGTCTCCACTTCTCCCATTTTTCCAGAACCGTACTTGGATCAGGCTTGTGCCCCACCACTCTTCTCAAGACCGGCTGGCTCCCACGTTGCTAAATCCAGTGGTGAGTCCCACAGTCCAAGCTGGCCGTGCCCTCTCCTGTCCCACACTTCTTGCCGTTGCTGTGCCTCGCAACCAGTCCTTGGCCCTCCTCCCTCCTCTAACTGCACCCACCGCCGTGGTGGTTTCCAGTTACGGACCGCTGACTCCCCAACTCCTACCTTCAACACAGACCTCTCTCCTGACGCCAGGCTCGTCCCCCCGACTGCCCACTTCACAGTTCCACTTGGACGTCCGACAGGATCTCCAAGTCCATGTTCGAATCTGAACTCCTGATTCCACCCGCCACAGCCCCCTCTGCTCTTCTCACAGCCTTCCTCATCTCAGCTGAGAGCTCCTGCATCCTGCAGGCTTTGCCCAAAAATCCAGGCATCGTTCTCAATCCTCTCTCACAGCACACGGCCCATCCACCAGCAAATACTGCGGCTCTACCTTTGTGCCTTTTCAGTGTCCGAACTCTTCCCTCCACCTTCACTATTGCCCCTCGGGCCCAAACGGACCCTCCGCAATCCCTCACCTGAACTGCTGCAATAGCAGCAACTGGCCTTCTGCGCCCCTGCCCCTTACAGTGGGTCACCAACCCAGACACCAGACTTACTCTCTTAAACATGAGGCCAGTGCGCTCACTTCTCTGCTGAACTCTCACTCTGACTTGCCTTAGAAAACAAGAACATCCTTACAATGGCCTGGCAGCCCCTGCAGTGACCTGCTGTCCCTTCTCTGAGCCCACCCTCTTCTCCTCCGCCCGGGCCCTCTGACTCCAGCCACAATGGCCTCTGGCTGGCCTTAGAGCACACCAGGCAGGCGCCCGCTGCCGCTCCTGTGTGCCACCTGCTCCGTTTCGCCATTCCACCTGCCCGCAAGTATCTGTGGGCCCAGCTCCCTCACTTCCTTCAAGGCTTTCTTCAAATGTCACCAACTCACTGAGGTCCTCCCCAGCCACCCTATTTAAAGCTACAGCGTGACTCCCAGCCCAGCACTCTGATACCCGACTAGCTCGCCTGAAGCACCAGTGCCCACTGTAGGAGGGACTGTGTTCTCTCCTTGCCGATGAGGCCGAGGGTCTACCTTCCCCGGCAGGCTCCAGCGGGGAGTGACCAACCACAGTGCTTGAGCAATGAAAGGGATTTCCGCGTGCCTTGGTCACCAAAGTACGCCGAGGCCAAGCGAGTGCTCAGCGCAATCAGATACTTGTTGAATGACTGAATACACCAACAAATTTAGGATGAAGTTGGGTATTGTGCCTCAATAGCATAAACTAATATTTCCTTCCACTGTTAGTCAGTGAGATAATTCAGTTTAAGAATCTGAAAACGCAGAGTACTTAATGATTTAAACATTTCAAATGATGTTTGTAAACATCTGAACCCTAAAATGCTGGCTACTAGGGACTGGAGAAAAACATTTTATAGTTTGGTAAAACAGAGTACTGACAGTAATGGTCACTGTCTGCTCTGAAGAATTCTTTTCAGTCATCCTTTATCTGTTATGAAGATGGTAACCTTCGAGGCACAAATAAATTAATATTACCATTCTTTTTTCTTAATATTTCTCTTCTACAGAGAAAACTATCTATGCTATCATTAAAAATGTATTGTCAGGCCGGGCGCGGTGGCTCACGCCTGTAATCCTGGCACTCTGGGAGGCCAAGGCGGGTGGATTGTTTGAGCTCAGGAGTTCGAGACCAGCCTGAGCAAGAGCGAGACCCCGTCTCTACTAAAAATAGAAAGAAATT